GAAGAAGAAGAAGAAGAAGAAGAAGAAGAAGAAGAAGAAGAAGAAGAAGAAGAAGAAGAAGAAGAAGAAAGAAGAAGTCCCCTAATCAACTTATGGCAAGGAAAAATGCTAGGAAAATAGACGAGCATAACAGAAAATGACTTTGGGGCTGATGGAATAAATGTAATCCATATCCACAGAAGAAGTACAACTTCCTCCTGGTTTATAATATTTCTGAAGGACCAATGTTCTTCTGGGGCAGCAGGAGGCCTGGGAGTTTTATGATCTTTTTCAGTTGCTAGCTTTTTCCATTTAGCATTCTGGAGCAATCATGAACTAAAAGTGCACCATCAGTAAGGCAGAAAAATACATTAATCTCAGAGGGCAGATGCACTGTGGTGCAGATAGCTATGAACAAGACACCTGAAGTGTAGAGCAGAGACTGGATTTCTTTGATCTGCAATCTCTACAGGTAAGATACACATCTATAACCAATCCTGAGGAACTGCCAGTAGAACATTTCAAAAGATTTGCTAAGCTCCTGAAGAAGGGATAAGTCTGAATGATATCTGCGATGAATAACACAAAAAGTTTCCAAACCAGCCCCACTCCAAATTGATTTCTGCTTTGCTTCCCCTTAGGCAGAGAATGGAGGAAGTGCAACCCCTGGAAGGCAGTCGGTACCATGTCCACGAAAATGGTACATTACAGATCTTTGAAGCCACCGAAGAAGATGCAGGCTCATACTCTTGTTGGGTAGAGAATGCTATGGGGAAAACTGCAGTCATTGCCAATTTGGATATTAGAAGTACTTATTTCATTTTTTTATTTTGCATGGGTTCAATCTACCTTCCTCTCCCCAAGTGAAACAGTCTGATTTAAGTTTGAGCTCCTGCTAAGATTTTTTAGATCCTTTCTGAAAAGTCATAGGGGGGCTGGTGAGATGGCTCAGTGGTCTAAAGCACCTACTTAGAACAAGCTTAGCAAACACAGAGACCGCGGTTCAATCCCCCAGCACCACATGCCAGCCAAACCCGACCCCTGGTGGGCTGAGCTGGCCACACACACACACACAAATAAATTTTTTTAAAAAAAGAAAAGTCATAGGGTGCATTTCTCCTAAAAGACTATTAGAGGCATTTCAGAGTATGATAGGTCCATGACTTTAACTAATCCTAAGAGGGAGCTAGGTGTTGGGTATCCAGCAACATTTAAAAGTTTCCCATTCCACTTACTAAATAGTGTTTATTAGTATGAAATGGATTTATTTGAAATTAAAAATTACCAGTAGAATGTTTAGTAATACATACACTTAGTTCAATGTAGCAGTGTCTTCAAACTTTATGCCTGAGATAATAAGCAAACAATTTACTCACCCTTTCAGTTTTAATTACTTCCTTGAGAGAATATTTATTTATTTATTTATTTATTTATTTATTTATTTATTTATGCAAGGGATGGATCACAGGAGCTTGCACTTTCCAGGCAGGAGCTTATGTTGCTGACTATCTTCCTGGCTGGAGAGAATTTTAGAAAAAGTGTATTAGATACAGTTTTGGAACTGGAGGTCAGCTCTTATGCTTTGCATCTGAAAACCTCCCCATGTCTCAGATAACAGAAAGAAATATACTGGCTTTTAATACGTTATTCAAAGCTAAGCATGGTGGTACACCCTGAGATCTCATGCCCAACCGGCCCAGCTTGCCAATGTGGAGATGGAGCAAGATCCAGTCTCAAAATTTAAAGTTAAAAGACCAGGGGTATAGCTCAGTGACAAGGTATTGGCTTCAAACCCTACTTCCACTAAAATGTGTCATTAAACAGTAACCTAAAGAGTAAGGACGCTATTTTGAAAAGATCATATTGAGGCTGTATCTTTGAAGTTACTACCCTTAATACCAAAGTTTTGAGCCTCATATTCTTGATACTACTAATTTCTCTTTATGAGCTATAAGTGTCATTCACTATAGCTCATTCAACAAGAAATTCAGTTATGCATTGAGTATCTACTGCATATACGCTTCTTTATAGTGTGCAGGATCTGCTTGCTGTGTCACAGAACAGACACTTCCTCTCCTGTCATGGAGTGGACTTACTAATTCCTGCCTTCATGCTGATGGGCCATTTTGCCTGTGTTTCAGCATTTAACCTCAGGTTTTGAATTAATAATAAACATACTAACAGAGAATCAAGTAAATTTTTCTTTTTCATTGCAATACTTTAGTTACATACTCAGAAACACTAAAAGAAGAAAGTATAGTATTTTCAAATGTGTACATTTTCTCACATTTTGGTTATGCTATCTGCCCAAGAATTTCTAAGGAGAATTACCAAGCTATTGCTTAACACTTGTATGCAAATTTTATCAGATTCCCAGTTTTCCATAGAAAGGGAATTCTAATGATGAATGATGTTAGGAAATTACACTGGAACAAGTTTTGAATGAAGACAAGTATAATGTTAATAATCTTGGTTGTCTGAATTCTAGGCACTTGGGAACAAGGTAAGCTGTGCTCTATACCCCTAACTAATGTCTTTGGTTAAAAAACAGATGCTACAAAACTTAGAGTTTCTCCTAAGAATCCCCGGGTCCCCAGATCACACATGCTTGAGTTATATTGTGAGAGCGAATGTGACTTACATTTGAAGCAGAGCTTAAAGCTGTCCTGGAGTAAAGATGGAGAAGCCTTTGAAACTAATGGTACAGAAGATGGCAGGTGAGCAGAGTATCATGTAGATTGTAATCTGAGGTTGAGTGTAAAGCTTCAAGTAGAAACAGTTGGTGCTGAAAGTGTTCACACAAGATCAAACAGAAAAACTGATCATTACATTTCAGTTATTCCATTGTATTTTAAAAGGTCATGTAGCACTTACTTCACTCTTCTGTCATGTTTGTCTTCTTGCTTTTGTTACGGAATTCTCATACCACATTTTCATCCTTCTAGTGCATGGAGCAAAAGCCATTCCAGGTTAACTGAGACAGATATATCACATGGGCTTAAGTGTTGCAAAATCTGGGAAAGACTGAAGGAGTTTGGCCTAAGCGGTACACCTTAAAAATCTGTTGGGTTCTGAATCACGTGACACTTCAGTTGTATCTGGAATCTTTCTTTCTAGAAAGTGTTGAGACATATCACCATTTTTCATAGCTAGGGGGTTCTCATTCCAACTCCCCTCCCTGAGAGCCCCAAATCCATGGATGCACAAGTCCCTTATGCAAAATAGGTTGTATTTATCTGTTACTATGCATGTCCTCCTGTATACTTCAAATCATCTCTATGTTGCTAGTCATATTTAGTGTGTTAATGCTATGATATTTTCATTATGCAAGATTGGGCATAGTGGCACACAGCCCATAATCCCAGCTCTTGGGAGGCTGCAAACAGGCAGATCACTATGAATCTGATCCTGAACACCCTGTAGACACTTCCCTAAAATAACAAAAAGAAAAAAACCCCTCATTATGCAGTGTTGTATGGGGCATACTCACAAGGGAAATGTCTGTGCATATTCAATATAGACTCAGTTTTTCAGACTATTTTCCAACCTGGTTGAATCCAGGAATGCAAAGCCAGTGGAGTTAGAGGACCACGTTGATGTTTTTGAGTTTTCTAACATCTATATGAAGAACATAGGCAAAAGACAGAAGATAAACAAAAAAGGTGAATCGATTCAAAAATAGTGCTAGACAACATCAAGTACATCAAAGAGAGAAAAGAATCAAAGCAATCAATATGCCTGCTCTGTCTTGGAAAACCTCTGGAGGTCAGCTTTGCCTCATTACGTTGCTTTATTACTAAACAAGGCTTAAAATTTGAACACAGTGGAATGAAATCTCCTTTCATGCCAGGCTTTGCTACTCAGAACTCTGAAATGTATCTGAAAGTGCCTCGGCAGGATGTGCAGTCGTTAGGTGAAATCACAGCAGAGTGCTGATTAAAAGCCTGGAGCCGTACCCTGTGGCCCGAGTTCAAATCCCAGCTCCCTTGGTGTTCATGCCTGTGCTTTCCAGCTGCTTAATGTAGCTGTGCCCCTATTTTACAGCCCATTTTGATGCAAAACATTAAAAGTTGACTTCATTAGTAGGGTGTTGTACCTTAATATACTAAGCACTTAGAAAATACTATATACACACTCAGTTTTCATTGCGATTATTTTCACTACCATTTTCGGTCTGCTTTTCTCACTTTTCTGACTTGCTCAGCCTCTGTTGCTTTTGGTATTCACAGGTACAGTTGTGTGCACCATTGTTAGCCAGAAGCATTTGTGTCAGCCTTGATATTAATGTATGCCCTCCTGTGCTTTCTATATGTGTAAAGGTTTGTGCAAAGACAGTTACGTATTACAACTCCATTCAAGCAAGAGGAGTTAGTTGTGTTCACCTTCATTTTCATGCCAGAGCCTTGGTCCTCAGATCATGCTCACACTAGTTCTCAGTTGCTCTGCCAACTGTTGAGGTTTACCTCAATCTCTTTCTGGCACTATTACCCATATACCCAACGCCTTCCATATCTGACCTCGGGGTCATTGCTGGGAAAAGAACCGGAGGCCTGGCGCTTGCTGCCGTCCTCACATGTGCATTTAGGCTCTGACCCCGCAGCTCCAGCCAGGTTCGCAGTCTCTCCAGGACGCTGCTGTTGCCTCTCAAGCGCAATGCTGGCCATCTGAACGGACTGAGCCAGTCACTCGGGTGTTCTTCCACCTGCCCTCAAAAACCATGAGGGTGAGGGACAGTGACCTTAGCTCAGGTAAGTCCTCAGGCATGAAGAGGGAAGGCTCCGACTGCAGATGTCTGGTTTTGCCTGCTGCCAGGAATAGCTCTGGACTTGTGCTCACAGATGTCTGCCACATTTCTGGAAGGCCTGCAGAATGATGCTTCCCATCTGCTGAGGCTCCATCTCCTTATTCCTAGGGAGGGAACCAGAAGCTTTTGCTGAGTAAGAGATTAAATTTCACATCAAAGGTACATGGAAAATATTGAGAATTGAGAATTCTTCCCCTTTTTCCTGTTGCCTTTCATGCATAGGGTTACGGTAGGTTCTGGGGATTCCCTCTCTGACTGTTAAGTCCACAGTGTGCCCCACAGGCCATCAATACTTCCCGTGTGTGCCTTTCCTCCTTCAGCCTCACAGCAGCCCTGTCAGGTTGGTTGGAATGATCCAGGGAACATGTGGATATCTAAATAGATGAATATAGGTCGTGTTCTTGTTCTGAAAACTGAAATGGAGGGCCGGGAAATAGCGCAGGGGCTTACGCACCTGCCTGGCAAGTGGCAAGAGCAAGGTCCTGAGTTCAATCCCTGGTACAAAAAACACAAATGAACAAACAAATATGGACATGGAGAGCATGGATGTGAAGTAATTCTTAAATTTATAATGTGTTTAATAAGGGCAGTGGAGATCATTCATGACCATAGGTGGTCCCAGCTCTGCAGGAGGCATGCAGAGGGCTGGGAGGGACCCGCGCGCAATGCAGCGGTGTCTAGGAGGGAAGGGGAGGATGAGGTTTGTGTCAGACGGTGTGAGGACTCCGTCCTTGACACCATAGAAGAGATGACTTTCTACCTTCAGAAACACTAGCCAACAAAAGGAGAGAGAATGGGAAGGGCGACAGAAGAATAAAAGATTACAAGGTAATAATAAGGAGATCGTACCTAACAAGTCATGAACTAAGAGGACGTTTGATTTCACTATACTTTGAGGCGATCGTCTGTAATTTGAACTTCTGAGAGGAATTTTACATTAAAAATTTATTTATGAGATACCATTCCTCCCTTCCTACAAGAATCACACTCTACGTTATTCCAAGTAAATAACCACTGATGTGAAAATATTTCAAATTTAATGGAATTTTAGTTTTAAAATTTTATGATCAGCTATATTAAGAATATACAGTTTAGTGTAAAAAGTGTAATTTATAAAGAAGTAATTTTCGTGTAGTAAACGGTTCCGACTTGGCAAAAATTAAGTGATACAAAACTAGTTGAAATGATTTGCTAAAAGAGGTGTTATACTGCCACCTGCTGTTGAAATGAACCCCGTAGACTGTGACCACTTAATATCTCTTCTATTTAGAGGTGGAGGGAAAAGGAAACCTGTGGCCAAAATAGATTGTCAGGTTTCGTGCAGACATTTTGATTTAGTGGAGCTAGGGGGAGATTAAGGGATCTGCTCTTGTAAGAAGCCTTACAAGTGAGCCTACGTAGGCTTTACCATTCACAATTTAAAATTATTCTAGTATGTCTTAATTGTTGTACAGTGTACTTAGACCCGACAGGCAACCCAGAGTTCCATTTTCGCCTCTGTATCCTTGTTTGATTATAGTTTTGAAGGTGTGGTCCCTTTTGTAGCTATGTAGACATCGGTATATGCTTGAATAATGCCTTTCCTCTGATTCTGATCTGCAACATTCCTCAGCAAAACTTGTATTAAGTGCAGTTTTGGTGGGACTCTTCTTTGCACATTTTTCCATAAGAAATATACATGCTTGAAAGGATTGTGTTTCTGATATTTTTATCCTTTTCACATTCTTTGTTTTTTTCTCTTTTTCTGATAGGATAGTTATCGATGGAGCTAATCTGACCATTTCTAATGTGACTTTAGAGGATCAAGGTATTTACTCCTGTTTGGCTCAGACTGCTCTGGACAGCATGGCTGAGATAACTGAAGTAACTGTTCTTGGTAAGTTTTTCTTTTTTTAACTAATTTAATTGGTACACTTTTGATGTGTGGAATTATTACATTCAGCATAGGACATTAGTGCTTGTACATAATGTAGCTTCGTTCCTAATTCAAGAAAAATCTCTGTTCATGCCTTCCTCATTGCTGATGAAATTCTGTCGCTCACTGTGATAAAGTCAACCGTTATTTGGGCTCTTACATATTCACTGGTAGTTTGAATCTCTTGTTTAAGAATAGACCCCACTTGCAAGTGCTTTCTTATCTTCTCATATAAAAGAAGTCAATTAATGCTTAGTTCTTTTCCCTACGTGGGTAAGTTTGCCAATAGCAGTAGGAGGTAAGTGATGCTATCAGCAAAGAAAAAAAAAAAATGAAGCATGGCTGAGCTTCTAGGGCTGCTGAGCTGGCCTTTCTTGAGAAATGGGGATGAGGAGAGGAACTGGGGAGAGTGCATTGCCTGAGGAGTCCAGCAGTGGATAGACAGTGGTCACATGATCCTACAGACTCAGCTTCAAGAAGTGCAAGACAGGTAGGGAGGGGCTTCAGGCATTCTGCAAGGGAAAGCCTTTGTTTCATTTGTTTGTTTTGTGTATAATGCTAATTAGAAAACTGCCTATTTCACCAGAGTAGTCAGTGCAATTACCCCTGAAATCACTACCATTAACAGCTTTGCACCATCTGCTGGATGTTTTCCAATTTCCTTTCGAGATTCAGTGCACCAGCTCTTTGAGCTGGAAAGGCATCGGGTAAGACACATCAGCAAGCCACTTGTCCTCTGGCTTTCATTTGCTGGAGTCCATGGGAAGCCTTGGGAGTAGAGAAGGCTGGGGATGTTCATGCCCTTCCCTTCATCTTCTCTTTCCTTCCTTTCCTCCTTCCCTCTTCCCATTTTTCCTCCCTTCCAGACTATGTCCAAATTGCTGAAATCACAGCTCCTCCATATTATATTCTGGAAATTCCTCCCCCATTTCAAGTATTTCAAGGGCTCCCTGTAGCCAACCCCATAGTTTTAGCCAGTCCTTATTAAAAACTATTGCATTACCATGGCATGCATGAGCTTTCTTCTGGGTCTCTGACAGCTGTGGACAGACACCATGACAGCTTCCATTTGTTCTGGTTCAGAAGGGATCCCTTTGTTTTCCTTTTACTTTGCTGATATTTCTTGAAAGCATTTGCTTTTGGCTACTCTTTTTTGATATATCTGAGTTACACTTGCAATGGGTAGGACTCTGTATCTTTAGTTCCCTTATTGCTAGAGTCCATAGGTGACTACTAAGGGATATGCAGACTGGCAGGGGACAGTTGACTCTCTTGAAGTTAGGTGGTGAAACTGTGTCAATAAATTGTTGTACTGAGAAATGAACTCAGGACCCTGAACTTAACAGGCAGGGGCTTGTGCCACTGAGCTATAGCCCCAGCCCTGTGTCAGTAACCTGAATCCACTCAAGTAAAGCCTGGCAATCAGGTTGGTTTCCACTAGAAAAAGAAAACGAAACATGAGCCTGGGATACTAAAATAACATCTTTAGGTCTGATGTGTGCAAGGCTCTTCAGGACTGCACAAGCAGAAAGATTTAATACATTGGTGATTATTCCAACAGCAATTCACCAGATAAAATAGTTGTACACTAAGTAAACTGAAACTTACTTCAGGCGCCACAAGGAGAGAATACATACGGGATCCACAGACTTGCTACCAAGTATTTCAAACAGCAGCAGCAACAAGGATATCGGGTACACACCTTCTCACGTTCCTTGCAAAACTTAAATTGCATTCATATGATTAACCCATCATTTTCTACAATCACTACACTTTGATACTATTAAACAATGGTTGTGATCATTATATATGATCACATGTTATATGGTCATATATTATATGTATATAACCATGTGTAATCGGACACACATGTTAGAATAGTAGTTCTTTTTTTTTACTCTGGGGACTGAATTCAGCACCTCTGACTGAGCTATCTCCCCCCCATAACTTTTTAAATTTAAATTTTGAGACAAGTTGTTTCTGAGTTACTCTGCATGCAATCCACAATACTGCTCATGAACTTGAGATCCTTGACTCAGCCTCCCAGTTATTGTGATTGCAGGCATGTGCCACACATTCAGAAGATAAATATTTGAAAAAGACTGTTGTACTATAATTTTTTTTTTAAGCACAGGGTCAACCTACTTCATTTGGAAAATACTTCCATAAGCCTTAACACAGGAAGGAGGAATTTTCAGTGGCAAGCTTTTCACTTCTGGCTTCATATGATTCACAAAGGATTGGGTTTTAATTTCAGAATATGCTGGCTTAGTTTCTTCTATAAATTTCAGAACTTTGTGAACTTTTAATAAACGATGAAAATAAATCATTAAGTTTTCTGAGCTCAGAGATTTAAAACCGTTTTAAAGAAATGCCTTCTGGGCCTGGGCTGGCCAAGTAGCTCAGTGGATTAAATGGCCTACAAGCAGCACAGGGGCTGGGGGTTTGATCCCCGGGCCTGCCCTATCAGCCCCACCCTTGGGGCATTGAGAGGCCAATTTAGACCGGTCGTGGTGGTGCGCTCTTGTAATCCCAGCTCTTGGGAGGCTATAAACAGGCAGAACACTACAAAACCGACCTAGTAGTGAGACCCTGAACACCCTGTAGACCCTTCCCTAAAAAATACAAAAAAAAAGGAAGGAATACCTTCTTTTGGTGGCCTTAAAGTGTAGACACAGTCATAAACCACATGTTAAACACAAGCATATTCTAGTCTTAAGAGGAAATTACATCTTTCATCAGTGTGAATCTTCAGCAGTGGACAAATATTCAACAAACGCAGTAGATGTTTCTTGCCCTTGGGAAAGAAAAGAGCCAATGGAAAGGCCATGTCTGACATCACCTTTATTGTCTCCTTTGAGCAAAGTAACTATCCCCACATGCATGAGAGAAATAATAGCAAATTTTGGAAGTAATGATCATTCAAGATAATGTTTTATTTTACTCTTTCTTTAATTTTAGAAGCACTGAAAATTTCCATGTACTCTAATGCTAAAGTGTTTGGCATCTCTTACTCCATTTGCTACTTTCTGTCACAACAATGAACAGTGCCAGAACTCCCGCCTGCTGCATAAACTGTCTTCCTACTTGCTTTCTGACTCCAGGCCCAGCAGCATGAAAGCTGTTATTATATATTAAGAATTAGAATGAAATTCCAAAGTACTTGCAGAAAAAAAGGCAAAGTCATGTTTGCTATCTTAGGTTCTATGACCACAGGATCTAACATTTATTGCTTGTGTATAACTGCATTCACAGAGAAAGTGACACTATATTTTTCAATTACTTATTCACAAAGTATTTATGTACAAAGTACCATGGGCAATGCCTAGTCTTGAAGATTTTTTAATCTTAAAAAGAATAATCATGTATGTGAGGATTAGGAGCTGAAGGCAATTAAAGGATCCACTTGGAACACATTTCTAAAACTTGACTTTGCATAATTATCAACAGGAAACATGTTTACAAATGGAGACTTTTAGGCTGAGTTCAGTAGGTAACCCAGACAGGGTGCAGACATGTCTTCCTAAAAATTATTCTTAACATAGTTCTGATCCCCAGAAGACAGTCACAGGTAGCCGTTGGAAACTGTTACCAGAGACAAAGGAAGCAAAATAGCCAACTGTGCAAAGGATCTGAAGGCTGCTGCATTCAAAGTTAGAGCTAAAGACCAGTGAGATGTGAAGAAATCACAGTAGAGACTTCTGACCAGAGAGGATGGGCAGTGTGCCTGAGAGAAGGCCTCAGAGAAATTAAGGCAGTGATCCACATTTTTCTCCCCTTTGTTTTTATTATTAGATGTTCCAGATCCACCAGAAAACCTTCACTTGTCTGAAAGACAGAACAGGAGTGTCCGGCTGTCCTGGAGAGCTGGAGATGACCACAATAGCAACATTAGTGGTAGGAAGTCTTAGAATCTCACTGTTTAATTTACCCAACAATTAAATTTGGTGTGAGAGCTATTTTTAACCATTGTGTAGATTTGTTCTTAAAATACCCTTGTAAACGTTCAATATTGTGTATGAAACCGAGTATAAATAAGCATTCTCTTTATGTTCTAATGCTTTGTCTGTGGTTTCTCTGCCAGAATATATTGTGGAATTTGAGGGAAACAGAGAAGAACCTGGAAGATGGGAAGAGCTGACAAGGGTCCAAGGACAGGAAACAACAGTCTTGTTAGGGTTGGCTCCATATGTGAGGTACCAGTTCCGGGTCACAGCTGTGAATGAGGTGGGGCAGAGCCACCCTAGCCAGCCCTCGGACCACCATGAAACACCACCGGCAGGTACACAGCCTCCCACACCAGGCCTCTGGGAAACTCTCTTACTTTGAACATTTTTTAAAACCCATCACTTAGCTTTGGATTTTAGATTTCTCTAGTATGAGCAATTCTGTGAGCAACAAATAAGGAGCACACTAGGCTCACAGTGTTAATTGCCCATTTGACAAGAAGCAGAAAATTTGAGGAGAAAGGTGACATAAGAGAAACCATTGCTATGCACACTTTCCAACCACTAGACATGATGTTTAAACCAAACATCAAGAAAGTAAATTCTGCGATGATGTTCAAAATACAGGGAAAGTCAATGATTCAATTTTGTGAATACATTTTTTTTAATTTATTAGTGATGCCTAGTTAAATTTTCAATGTGTATAACATGATTTAAATTATTATGTATTTAGTATTTTTCTGTCTTCCTATCTACCTAAATTGCCTGCTTTTTAAAATCTCAAGTACTATAGTGCTAGAATAATTGATGTTTGGGAACTCACTGGAGGCACCCACATGGTCATGGTGTGGCGTTTGCAGTTTCCTGAGTGAAGGATAGGATATAAAGTACTTTACAGGATAAGAAAAAAATGAGTCAAAATAAACTGATTTAAACACTTGCATGATTTTCAACATACATCAAAGAACACTAAACTCCCTGCTTAGCTCTTACTAATAAAATGACTCAGTTTGAATGGATTTCATGACTGTATGCTGCTTTCGATTTGGTAGTCCTACAACTTCACAGTAGCTGTTAATTCATGAGGTTCAATTTTATTTTCCATCATATCATAGTATGTATTTATATCAACATAATTCTAATAGAATAAGCATAGCTTTAAAATGAAAATACACTTTTAAAAATCAGGTTTAGAAATTTAGGTAGCAGGATATATATATA